TTTAGCCAACCAGGCTCCCTGCTCTTTTCGGAATGGACTGTGGTGACTTCCCCGGTGCCGCGATACAACTTTGTGTTCAATTCATTGGACCGTAAGACAGGAATGAATAGTGCACTTTATGATTCCCCATATATGACTATATATGCAGAAAAATACATAGGATTACATGCAACATATTGTAATAAAATAATACTTTGTGATAGCTTGATAAGGGGAGACGGCAACTATCCTAAAGAATCCATTAACGCTCCTCATTAAAATTGCTACTCTTACCAAACCTTAATTCGTAGATCAATTTCTCCGTGGTAAAACGAGAAAGTTTATTATATAGAAGCGATGACATGACGAGGATGCACGAAAATTCGATATAAGTAGAAGTGGGTTATGAGATAGCACATGGTGAATAAATATAAGAGATTAAACGATAGGAGGAAATGAAGTTTACTAAGAGGACTAGCCGAGCAGGAGCAAAGGCTCCTGTCCAACCTTACATCATGATATTGTTAGTGAACAATAGAACGAGTAATAGGTTAGAAAGGAGATGATACGTATATGAGGAAAAAAAAGGGAGGGGAGAGGGTAGGACCACATTTGGTCTAGGACCACCAGCCGCTTGCCCTTTCGTGCTGCTCCCTCTCTCTGGGCCGGGTTTTGGCTTTTTGAAACGGCGCTACGAGGCAAAGGCCAATAGCGTAGTACTATGATGGTGAATAGCGCTTTACATCCTAATCTGGTCCCTGGGACTAGGAGTAAACTCTAGAGAATGTTTGACAGAGTACCGACGCATGGTCGTCTTTACGGCACCAGTAATAAAGAGTGGTGCTTCTGCAGACTGAGACGTGGTGGCGACCTAGGCATTTTGGGCAAAGGTTTTTTGTTGAGTAAAATGGATGCCTTTATTGCGAAGGGTAGAGGAAATGCGTATTGTGGCGCAGGATGCGTAGTTCGCTTGCACAGAAGGCAAGAGCGAGAAGGTGGACGAGATTTTGCTTTAGCTATTTTGGTTGGAATAGGGAAGTAGTTGACTGATCACGTTGGTGGACGAAAGCTTGTGTGGGAGGAAGGTCGAAGAAGAGTTGAAGTATAGGTAAGGTCTTTTTCGACTAGGAGTGCGTGACGATGGGATTCGTAAAGGCTTAGGCCAGCAAGTTTTGGGAGAAGGGTTTGGAACTTAAAGTTGCTAAAGTTCGGGTGTTCGATTTAAATATGTACAAGGTTTAGATGCGTAGGTTGCCCCGGGGGTTTGGGGTTTTGGTTGGAGAAAGTCTGCGAGCTTCGCTAGAGCCTGCTGGAGAGTTTGGAGGTAGTTGCGGGAGGCGATGGTTCGGTTGGGGTAGGGGTAGTAGTTTTAGGAGGAGTACGTGGAGTTTTTTTTTAATTACCACATCAGATAAAGGATTAGAAGGAAAGGAATTTGAAGAGGAAGAAGATTTTGATGAGGAGGGAGAAGAGGAAGAGGGAGAGACAAGGCGGGTTGGCGATGATAATGGTTAGAGCGGATAAGACGATAATTTTGATCGTTTTCTGCTGAAGAGGGTTGAAGATACGAGGTGTTTTGTTGGCAGGCATCTAAAAACTAGAATTAAGTGGTGATGTGTCAAAGGTTTCTTTCTTTTGAAAGTACTTAAGCTAGGTGATGTAAACAGTGTTCTAGTGCGAAGGCGGGCGCGCGTCTCTGGACTGGATTGGCTCTTCTTATAGTTGTTAGGGGGCGGTGCCATGAGGTACTAATGTGATGGTGATAGCGCTTTTCCTACAGTATACAAAGCAAAAAGGGGAAGTATATGTATAAGTTAGAAAACAAGCCTGACGCTCGGAAGGATTGGGCGGGGCGTTTCGACGGCGTCGTGTGCTTCTGTTGGGCACCTCAAAAGCTGCTCTTGGCTCTTGGCTGGCCAAAGTCCCTCCTTCGTATTCTCTCGATGGGCGGGACATCTCCAGTCAGCCCAGAGTTCTTCATCTTCTTCCGCTTCTCGCTGGATGAACAGTTGTGCTAACTGCAGTTGATTGGATTAACTATACCGCCAAGGTCCGGCCATTTATATGCTTTGCAATGGGCGTGGCAGAGGGACGTATCTTCTTGCCACGACCCTTCCGTCGGGAAGTGTTTGGATAGGAAAGGTCGTGAGCAACACGCAGTATGGGAATATGAAGATGATATTCTAATAAAATCATGCTTCAAAGGTCAATAATTGGGGATGCTGCATTACTATCACTAAAGATCTCACTGTCTATTCGTATCAAAAAGAAAGCTACTTCATCCAAACTTCTCCCTAGTTCAATTCCCGAAACAAAACAAGATTCCTTTATAGAAAATT